ATTTTTAAAATTTTTTAAAAATCCCTCCATCTGAACGTTACAGCTTTTGTTTTATTTTATTTAAACTTTTTTGTAGCGACGTGAATCCCACGTCGCAACAAATTTCATTAAAAAAAAGAATCTCTATATCTGAACGTTATGTTGATTTTTTTAATATATAAATTTATAGTGACGTGATTATCACGTCGCAACTGAATTTTTTTAGTCACGTGATAATCACGTCACAACTTTATGTCACTGGGGAACACATTTCTTGTAGTGCTAGTACAACCGATCCAGCGAACAACTCAACCGCACCAACACCAAGAGTGGCGGCCTCGACAGCTGATCAACAATCAGAGCAGTATAATATATTATCCAGAATATGAATCATGAAGAAAAAATAAACGAGTTTAGTGAATGCATCTTAAGTTTAGTGAATGAGAAATATTCTGTATTGATGGTGGCGAATGAGGAATCTTCAACACCGACGATGAAAACTGGTAAATCCTTCTGCAAATTTGTTTAAACGATAGATGATGTTGAACTCTCCGATCTCCTCCTCCATATTTTGCTCGAAACTTACAACAACAAAACAACCATTTCTGATTTTCAGGAAAAATGTCTTTCTCGTCTCACTCATCCCCGTCGAAGCTCTTAACAGTTCACACAATACAGGTTCACATAATTTCTGTTACTTTGTGTTTCATCTTTATGGTTCTATTATATTATTCTACAAATTCAATTTGTCTACATTCAATTTCTCTATAAACAGGTGAAAATTCAAAATGGGAATGGCCCATCAACGAATTTGAGATTGGGAAAGGCAAACTGGTACCATCTATGTCGCCAGAGAAATCAAGATATCCATATTTTGTATTTGAAAAAAAAGAGAAATACAGAAAAATTAAAATGCTAAAAAATTTGGAGAAGAAGATGAATAATAATTAAAATCCAGATATAGTTTTTAACGTTGATTTTTTCGACGCTAACTCCGTCACGTTAGTTGGTCAAATTGTGACGTAGATTTTTAATATACTTTGACTAATGGAATAGACGAAAGAAACTTGTTTGCATCGTTTTAAAAATTAAAAGATTAATTTAGCACGAAAAAAAGATAAGAGACCAAAGTAAATTATAACCTATAGTTAAAAGACAAAATAATTTTGTCAATGATATAATTCAGAAAAACTGAGTGAACATTATTAGTCCTACAGTATGAAAACCCAGCTCATGCACTTTAGCTCTTGTTGTTTCTCATAAAGGCATCTCTACGATAGAAACATGAAAAGTTAAAATACCGTTTTTATCCCTTTCATAAAGCATCATGCATAATCTAAGAAGAAGGGTTTATAGTAAGATCATTGAAATGAAACTTTAACGTGTGGACCAGTCCCAGCCAATGTCACAGTCTAGACAGTGATCTTCACCAGTGTGTTAGATAAAGCCATTATTATTGTCTTTAACGAACCTCATTCAACAAGGGTACTCATTAATAAATATGTCACGAATTTCCCGTTGGGTATGAAATCATGTAATATTGCCGTGTGTTATGGTCAAATATTAGGTGTATTCCTAAAACTATTTCTCATTCAACTTTTAATTCTTTACCTTTTTATTAAACATAGACACTAACACAAACACAAGTTACCGATACAAAACATAGACATTATACATGACTCCGATACTGATACTTAGACATTCATAAAAAATAACTTATTAAACGTAATTACATTTGTCAGTGTCATATATGTGTTGGTGTTAATGTTTGACACTGACATAGACACTGACATGACATGATTTTTTTGCTAGGACTGTCAGCTTTATAAAATTTTGACCATATATGCATGTATGACGTACATTAAATTAGGCGTTTACAATAAAATTTCAAGTCAATGTTTTGAACGCAATACCTAAGATGCACCCACCATGTTCTGGAGGAACATGCTCACAACCTTGCTTCAATGGTTGTTTTCCATCTCCATTTCTTGCCTCTGAGGCCTCCCATAACAACACTTCCAACTCAAATAAAACTGACTTAACCGCAGCCACATCCTCAAGTCTTTACCCAAACACACAATTCACAAACCACGAATCTCTCCCACTTTTACAAGACTCATATAATAACTTCATCAAATCATTCCCTCAATTTTCCTCAACTTTCGAAATAGATCAAATCCGAGCACAAGAGTATCATCACTTGAATAACAATCTCTCGAATATATGTTTCGATTACACAGGATATGGCCTTTTCTCTTACTCTCCGCATCAAAAATCATGTCCAGCAGCTGCTTCTTCATCATCATCATCATCACCATCTACTCCTTACTTGAACTTAGAACAATCGTTCTTCGATGTATCCATTAAGTCGATGAACTTGAAGTCACAGATACTCTACCGTGGACAAGAATCGGAACTAGAATCAAGAATTAGAGAAAGAATAATGACATTTATGAATGTGTCCCAAACCGATTACGCCTTAGTTTTCATTGCGAACGAGGTATCTGCTTTTAAACTTGTAGCCGATTCATTCCATTTTCAATCTAAAGGATCGGAACTTCTCACAGTTTATGATCATAACAATGAAGCATTAGAAATGATGATTGATAGCTGCAAGAAACAAGGAGTAAAAATTTTATCAGCAGAATTCACCTGGCCCAATCTAGGAATGGAATGGAGAAAACTGAAGAAAATGATACAATGTAAAAAAGAGAAGAGAAAAAGTGGTTTATTTGTTTTTCCACTTTACTCAAAGGTTACTGGATCACCATATTCATATTTTTGGATGTCTATGGCACAAGAAAATGGTTGGCATGTTTTGCTTGATTTATGTGCATTGAGACCTAAAGAAATGGATACTTTAGGTTTATCTATGTTTAAACCTGACTTCATGGTTTGTTCATTTTACAAGATTTTCGGCGAAAACCCTTCTGGGTTTGGTTGTTTATTTGTCAAAAAATCAAGTCTTTCTTCTCTCAAAGATTTAGGTAATGCTACAAGCATAGGAATTATAAGCCTTACTCAGAATAATACTGAAAAGCCGAACTCTGAATTACCAGAATCTTCGTCTACGAATCAGAGGATTAATGAGGAAGCATCATCATGGTCATCAAAATCAGAAATTGTGGAGCTACAAGATATGAACATGAAGGATGAAAGATTGGAAATTGAATGTAGAGGATTAGACCATGCAGACACAGTGGGACTAATTGTGATTAGTACAAGAACAAGGTACTTGATTAATTGGCTTGTTAATGCATTGATGAGTCTTCAACATCCACATGATGAAAATAGATTTTCATTGATTAGAATCTATGGCCCAAAGATTAACTCTCATCGTGGATCTACCGTTGCATTTAATATATTTGACTGGAAAGGAGAAAAAATTGATCCAGCACTTGTTCAAAAGTTAGCTGATAGAAATAATATCTCATTAAGTAGGTCTTGTTTGAGAAATATCAAGTTCTTAGATAAGAACATAGAAGAAAGGGAATGGGCTTTGGAAAGTAAAGCCACTGAGGTTGAGAAGATGGGAATGTCCAAGAAGAAGAAAAGCCCATATGAGAATGGGATATGGGTTTTAACTGCTACATTGGGCTTTTTGACAAACTTTGAAGATGTTTATAGGTTATGGGCTTTTGTTTCTAGGTTTCTTGATGCAGATTTTGTGGAGAAAGAGAGATGGAGGTACATTGCTCTAAATCAAAAAACTATTGAAGTTTGAATTTGTTTTTGTTTTTGTTTTCTATTTTTTCTTGTCACATTTTCTCATCATATTCACATTGTTTATGGTTTTCTTATTTTGGAATAAGGTTAGAACTCTGCCAATTTGGTTTGTATTGTATTTAGCATGATAAGTTGGGTAACTTGCCCTCCAATTTTTGAACAAATGTTAGAATTTGATAAAATGTGAACTTCACTGTGTTATGATTAATGACTTAATCTATAACAAAGTCATGACACACATATTTATATTATAGTTCTAATGCAATCATGATTCTCTACTACACACACATGCATGGTGATCAGCACTTATTTTGCACCTCTACTTCATACATACATACGTGATGCAACTCTATATACGCATATCATAAGATGGAGCAACTTGAGCAAATCTTCTAATACTTCACCAGAAGCTCAATGAGGGATGTAGAAAGTGACTTTGAGCTTGGTGAGGAGGTTTTTGAAAGTTGTTGTGCCAAAAGGCTTAGTAAAAGTGTCAACAACTTAAACTTTGCTAGAAACATGTCAGATCTACAACTTCTTGGTTATGACTCTCTCTCTCTCTCTCTCACAAAGTAGATGTCGAGCTCAATATATTTCATTATGGCATGAAGGATTGGATTTGTGACAAAAGCATTGCACTAAGATTGTCACAAAGAAGAGCCGGAGGAAAGAAAAACACTACAAGCTTAGGGGTAAGTGATTCAACCTAGAGTTACTCTAAAATGGTGTGAGCCAAGCCACAATAGTTAGCCTCAATGCTTGCTTTAGCAAGAGTCAGAAGTAGATATGCGATCATTTGGACCACTTGCCCATTGCAAATCACAAAAGCATTGCACTAAGATTGTCACAAAGGAGAAGCCATAAATTGGAAGGATTTGTTAACACTAAAAGATTTATCAGGTCTTATGAGAGTCACATATTGGAGAGCACCTATCATAGACCTATACTAACGAGGGTCTGATAGAGGAGAAGAGTCATGCTTACTCAGTTTATGGTTGTTCATCATTGGAGAAGACATATCATTTGCATTGATCATATTGGCTCGAGCAAGAAGGTCTCAAATATACTTGTCTAAGTGAGGAGCATACAATTGGTGGACAAATACTTCCCCTTAATACTTTAGAAATATTCACACTTGTCAGGCTTTTTAAGTGCAAATGTAGCAAGGAGATAGTCGATTAACTTGTGAAGTAGGCTAGAAGAAGACCCAATGATAAGGATATCACCAACATAGAATATGACATACATGATAAGGCCTTGGTGGGTTTAGTGAATAAAGTGTGATCACACCTACTATGAGGAAATATAAACAGAATCAATGTTTAACCTATCTTTTCATACCATGCTCTTGGGGATTGCTTAAGGCCATATGGGGCTTTATTAAGCTTGTAAACCAGGATGAAGTCTTGATTTTCAAAATCAGGTGGTTGAGACAGGTATACATATTCTTGAAAAGAGTCGTTAGAAAAATCATTATCGTTAAGAAAAGACATCCCACTTTTTTTTCAAGAGGCCGCTATGTCACTTCACAACTTTCTCTATATGCAAACCATGCTGCTAGACACGTGTGGAATGGAGAGGTAAAACAAATAGTATTTATTCTTTTAAACAAGTGTTATAATATTTGAAATTTATGACGATTATGTATTTTTTATAGTACCGCGAGACTTTAAAATGCATCAACCATGGTATGAAGATTTTGAAGCTGCAGCAGGCTGAAGAGCTATGGTTTCATGATGTCATGCAATAATCTGGGCTCCAAGATTTATGCATGACTAGTTATAATGTTATTAACCGTTGTATGCTGTCTGTTTTGTGAAGATGTGGACCTCAAAGACGTCATATTTTCATCTTCTGATTGGTGAGATGTCCATCCCACTTGATGATGTGTCATAATATATTTGCATTTTCGGAAGAGTTGTATAAATACCATCTGGATATGGTAATGGATGCCGATGGTGATGATACACTGGTTTAACATCATATGGCATGTGCATTGAGTTCATACCTCATGTATTTGGTTGACTCGTCCATATTTGGGGATAAAAGTGCTTATCATGTCGATGTTGTTTATCTGAGATATTTCATTAACTTCGAGAAGATTCATGAGTATACTTGGGAGATTCTTTTTTGGTTTACATGTAGTCATAGTTAGGTGAAGCTTACCTTTGGAAGACTAGACAAATGACGGCAAGCAACATGTTGTCTATAATAATATATTTGCAACATTACTAGTACTAATACTTCATAACAATTGTTCTACATTATTACTAACATTTTATCTGAACCATTTTTGGGCATGAATCCTCTCTCACTTTCCATGCATCTCCACTTGATCATATGAGGATGAATATAATGAGGTATGATCACACATTTTCTTCTTTTTCATGCTCATAGGGAATCAGGAGATCGAGTTATTCCAAATGTTTCTTGACCGCATCAGAGTAGATGATACACACTTGACGATCAGCTTCAAACGCGTTCCTTGGATGACATAGCATTTAACTCCAAATGGTAGGCTTATGGGTCACACCTGATTTACCCATATTTTCCTGAGTCATTCATGTACCAGTTTAGGTTTTTATAGGGTATTCCAAGAGTTCCCACTATGTATGCTCCTCCCACCATTTTCTTTAGAGATGTTGATGTGATGTTTGATGGTTTATATAATTATCATATAGTATTATAGGATGCACAAAGTGTGATAGCTCCTCAACCATGAAGTGTTATATAAACCTTCATCCAATGGTTTTTCAAAGTGTCACATCCTTACATGAAACCGGATGTCTAGGGAGATCCACCTAGGTCAGCTCATCATGAGATATTGGAAGAGGAGCAGGGTAGGGTAAACCATGACATTGATGTCTTTCTAGTTTGTCAATGTATTATGTGTTAAAACAAAATATGTTCATACTAATTGGATTTTGATGATACCAAAGTGTTTAAAGAATAATTGGGTATACTAACATTTGTTTAAGTGTGCAGGATCATAAGCTCGAATTTAACTTGGTTCTGACCATGTTAGAATGCTTATGAAGAGAAGAAAATGAAATAGATTCTGAAGGATCAAAATATGTTAAGAACTTGGAACTTCAGCTTCTAATAAAAACTCAAAATCTGATGACCTGGAAACATAGTACTACGCCTCTGGTCCGTAATCTGTGAAAAGTAGCTTCATCTTGTGAAAAGCCATATTATGGAGAAAGTCAAGTAGGGTTCCTAGTGAAAGGCTCATGGTGTTTTACATGAATTCTTTAGTTTTCACCCAACGTCTTTATGGTCTCCATGCTTGAGAAAGAATCTATTAGATAAAGCCATATATTACTCAGAAGATGAAGATCTTAATAGTACCAACTCCCAACGTCTCTCTCTTGAAAACTGCTTTTTTGCAAAGACACTTATGCAAGTCATTTTCCAACGTCTCTTGTGTTACCTCTACATAAGGAGCTGAAGATTTGAAGGAAGAATAAAAACAAGACATTAAAACAACAATTACAACTGATCTGATCACTAATCCTTTATATATATTGGTTGTATTACACATAGTCTTGAGATTTATTACCTTTATATATCTTAGAAATCTCAAGTAACAAGATCTTTGACGTGCTGCATTCTTTGTGTACCTCTGATTGTATATGAAGTAGATCTTATTGTAAATTCTAAACATTTTTTTTAGAATTTGTAAAGTCTCGGACCGAGTGTTTGAGCTAGGAAGTCTCAGACAGAGTGCTTGAGAAATGAAGTCTCTAGTTAGGTTTCTTGAGCAAGGAAGTCCTGAAATGGTGTGTTTAGGAAATGAAGTCTCTTTCAGGATTGACTGAGCAATGATGTCTTGGATAGGTGTGTCTAAGAAGATTGTAGTCAAGTTTTGATTATAATGGAAAATCTCTTGTGGGACAAGGGGACTAGACTACTCTCAGTTGAAGAGAAACCAGGATAATTTCAGTGTGCTTTTACTTATCGCTTTTTTGCTTTATATTCTTCTTCTTCTATCTACTGTTGTCTTGAATTTGAACTTGTTCATATTCAAAAGCTATTTACAAAAGAAGCAAAAGACTTATCCATACACAATTCAACCCCCCCTTTCTTGTGTATTTTTCTCACCTTCATTTGGCATCTGAGCATGATCTACGCTATATACTTAACAGTGGTAGATAAAAAGATTCAGAAGAGAAAAGTATACTATATGGATGACACTGGTGATAGTCGTGTTATTGGTACTGGTATACTACATTTTTGTACTCCAATTTCCCCCCTAATATCCCTTCATCATATCATATCAATTCAATCACAACAAGATCACACACTAGGGTTTGCTTTTCCTCCCTATCTTTAGCTTTGCTCTGTGAGGAATCACCAAGCATCTTGATTTGTATTTTTGTGATCATCTATGTTTTGATTATCTTTTAACTAATAAAATACAATATATGTGTGCCCTAATTGTTGATGATGTAGGTGAAAGCACAATGTATTCCATCAAAGTTGGTCTTTAGACTCATAAGTTCATTCTTTGTGTCTTCTTTAACAAAGCTTCATTGAGATTCAAGCCTCATCATTAATTATGTTTGAAGTAACATCATGACAAAGCTTATTATGATTCATCACACTTCAAGTTGTCAAAGATAGTTCAAAGGTACAAAGGTTGATTGAATAAGTTTGGCATAGTTGGACAAGCCTTTGTTTCCATTGATCACAAGTGCATATCTCCTTCATTTATAAAGATATGGAAGTGGTGTTGGCTGCTATTACTTCTCATTATCATCCTCAACAACTTCTATTTACATGACAAATGTATTGGTGCAAGAAGGTTGATCAAAATTGCAAAGGTCTCCCAAAGCATTTTCTTGCTCTAGGAGTTAGGGTTTTGAACTTCTAAGGGGTATATCTTGCTCATCTTTTGGTATTTTTAAGTGATTCCAAAGACATCCTTATCTTTAAAGGGTTATTAACAAATCACTTTAAAGTTTCAAGGAAATTTTGTGTGTAAGAAACTTGATGATGAAGAAAAATTACAAGTCCTTCACATGAACCCTCAAATTTCTTTATGTGACTTCAAATGATCATAACTTGATCAATTTTTATCACCTTGAACACATTATTTTTCCATAATGATCTTGAATGTGTGAACTTTAACCCATCTTCAAAGTGCAAAGTGAAAAAGTGGATGGAAGATGCCCTAATGATGCAAAATATTATAGGTCATTTCATGAATTTTTGCCAACTTAAACAAGTCATAACTCTCTCAATTTTTGGAGATTTTTAATGACTCAAGTCTCAAAATTTCATTCAAGAGATCTACTTCATGCTACCTTTTTTGGTAAAGAACAAATTCCAAGTGGAATGCCATGTTTGGATGCAAGACATTATAAGTCATTTTTGAAGAAAAAGTTAGAAATTTTCTAAGTATGGAAAGTCAGCTTCTTTTTCCCAACTTTGACTCATTGCAACTTTCAGATCAAGCAACCATTTAATCCCATTCTTTTATCACTACAAATATTGCAACTTCCTCTTTCTAAAGCTTCAAGAATCATGCCCTAAGAACCCTTGAGTTGAAAATGCCATTGGTTCAAAAATGTACCTTGGAACTGAAGTTTCTCAAACAGTAAGAATTTGATTTCCATAATACAACTTCTGATCACCAAAATTCCATGCGTTTTACACTTAAACTTGATTATCAAACATGTTTGGACCATTTAGAGTGTCAAAATGCATCATTTGGATGAGTTTTGATGCACATGTGATCACACTTTCTTCATGATCACAAGTGTGCACGAATTCCCTCCAAATTGCATCATCCACCCCTCCTCTTTATCCCATTCACTTCTCCTATAAATACATGATTTATTCCACTCATTTTTCTCAATCTTGAACATCCAAAATCACTCTGCCAAACTCTCTCCATAGCTCACTTTTCTGCAACTTCGAAATCAGTGTTCTAGCTTTCTTTAATCCATTTTCTTTATCAATTCACCTTCCTTGAACCTAACTGAATCTAACAGAAGAAGAATCAAGTTCTAAAACTCCTTGAATCGTGCTAGCTAAGTCCAGTTTCAGAGCTCTAAACTTAACTTCAATAGGTAGATTCCTCCATCAATTCTCTCAAACTTTGATACTATTGTGAATCTCTTGTCATCCTGGTTCAAGTCGCAACACTTGCTTTTAATTGGAAACACGTTTTGACCATGAAATTTCAAATCCCTTTTCAAAACATCTCTTCCAAATTGTTGGAGCTACAATTTACATAAATTTTTCGCGAAGGTGTGGTTGTCTTCATCTTGACGAGACGAAGCAAATGGTACTTGTAATATGGTAGGAGAACTGACTTGGGTGTTTTTCGCTTTATCACAATTGTTGCGGATAGCAAGAGTCGCCACCGACTTTTCTTTTATCCAATAAGGAAAGGGTGAAAAGAACAGGAAAGACCTTTGAGATAATGTCTTGAGTTCGAGGGGTAGTTTATGAAAAGGGAAGGTGTTAGCACCCTTTTCATCCATAATTGTCTATGGGCTCTGAGTTGCTTGCTAGATCACTTTTGAAATTGCTTTGTTTGAAATGTATTTATGGTCGGTTTTGAAAGTATTTTTTAAAAGCGCCTTCGTTTAGGCAACCTTTCTAATGATTCTCGTCTCTATAATAATGCATACAAAGTGTTGGACTTTTGAAAATACTTCATGTTTTTTTTAAAGTGTTTAGTGTGCTTGAAAAGATGTTTGTTTTTAAAGATGGATTGTGAGCAAGCAACTAAGAACGTTCTACCTACTCAAAAGTCTTTTGTTCATTTCTCTCTTCCCTTGACATTGCTATCTTACCATTGATTGGTAAGAAGCCTTATCTTTGGATGTGAAGGGACGAGATTGGGTCATCGTATAGTCATGAATATAAATGTTGTGAAATATCTTAGCATTTCTCTTGAGGGACTAAGATCATTTGTAAGGAAACATTCGTAGTGTCATCGAGGGACTATGATCTTGTATTTTTCGATTGTTTTTGCTAAGGCATCTCACATGCATAACATGACCATTTTCTCAAGGCAATATGTGGAGTTAACCCTAGAGGTGCAAAGTGTGTAAGTGTTTGTATTTCATGCTTGGTTTATCTTGGATTAGGGTTTTCTAAGCATTGATTTTATCTTTCCATACAAACCCTAAATTACTAGCATTTATATAAAAGCGATAAATTGCGGAAAGTAAATATCCTACGCTATTACATCATTTGGGGATGGGGTGTACAAATTTACAAATGGGGATTGCAAGAAATTAAACTTAATTATCTATTACAACCATATTGAACTTGAGTAATGTACAAGAATTGAAATGTATAAAATGTACAAGAAATGGAATGAATATAATGCATAAAAATCAAAAAGAAATGGAATTTATTTTGGATTTTATTTAAGAAAAGAGGTTTTTTAATCTAATTAACTGAAAGAAAAATAATTAACTAAATTAATAAAAATTAAGATTAAGTTAAAGAAAAGAAATTAAATAGAAAAATGTTTTTGGTCTTTTTATTTTGAGAAGTTAAATGAAAATAAACTAAATAATTTAAACATTTAATATAATATATTTTTGGTATTTTTGATTAATAAAAATAATAGTAATGATACTAAAATACTAAAATAAATAAAATAAAATAAAAATATAAAATTAAAATCAGGGGGTTTAGAAAGTGGAAAGGATGTTTGTAAGTAAAACTGATTTTTGTTTGGTTTAGACCCATATGTGTTTTTGTGATCAGAGTCAGAAAGAAAATAAAAAAGCAGGTTATGCTGGGTTGCATGATGGAAAAGTAGATGAAGGGGTGTGTTGCTGGAAGCAAAATGAGAAAGCCCAGAAGTTCTGGCCCAGGCGTGCTATTAACAAGTACATGGGGGGTGATGCTGGAAGCAAAAATGAGACAGCCTAGAAGTTCCGGCCCAGGCGTGCTGTTAATAGGTAAATGGGATAAAATGTTGGAAGCAAAAGTGAGAAAGCCTAGAAGTTCTGACCCAGGCGTGCTGCTAACAAGTAAAAGGGGTAAAATTCTAAGAAATAAAAACAAAAGGTGCTCCTGGGGCTAGAACCCAGGATCCTTAACCCTAATGCCTTACGCGTGCGCCCTCGACCATTGGGGTGGCTATACATCCGGTATTATAAACAAAACCACAAAAATATATTACAAGATCAATTTTGATGATGAACTTCATCTTCTTCCTTGCGCCAGCCAGAGTATCTGCAACTCAATCATTTCTTGCAGCTGGAGATCATGTTTTGAATTAGAGCCTGATTCAAGTTACTGTGATGATCTGATTAGTTTCCTCAAGTTCCCAGGAAGCTAATGCAATGATTAGCTTGAGCTATGGATGACTTGAATGTTCTGTAGAAGTCAGGATGTAATGCTCTGTTTTTGAAAATGGAGTTATATGGATGATTTGCCCAAAAAACGCACAAGAGGATTTGGAGATTGGATTTAAAAATAAAAAATGACAAGTTTTTGTGCTTGTGTTGCAATTTCTAGTTCTTGGGAGTTTTAGTGAGTTTCAGGGCTTGTCCAATCTTTTTTAGCTTGCAAATGAAGGTTTAATTTATATGCGAAGGGTTTGGAAGCTTGGAGAAGTCAGAAGTACAAAATCACATGTTATGGATTTTGACTTGTTGTTGAAGCAAGCTTAGACAAACATTATTTCAAGGCAAGATAGGGTGGCTAGCAACTTTA